TGAGTCATTTATAATATTGTGTGACTCGGTTTATATGACTGTTAAATCAATCTAGTTGCTCATGTTAGTTCTTGTATCTAATTTGCATGTCCATAAGTGATCAAAGAACCATTCATTCCATGCATTTTATGTGCCATTGGCAAGCAAAATCAAACTAAGATGACATATTTATCTGGTTTTCCACTGCACTTCACTTCCCAAGAATCCCAATGATGAGTCAAAATCATCTTTTATTGACCAGTGTGATCTATAAGTATTATTAAATATGACATATTTCTTTTCAGTGTGCATAGGAAGAAGTAGAAGAGAGGAACTGAAGCTGTTCAAATGTGTTGTAACTTCCATCTGTGCCTTCAGGCTATATATTAAGGTAGGTGTGTAGAGCAACATGCAATAACATGCATCCTCTCACGCTCTTCATAACCAGCTAGCTCACTCTTTCTTTTTCCTTTCTCTGTTTTAGCTGGTTGTTGAGTTGTTTGTGTCTCAGCTCAGTGCATGCCAATGATAAGGTCACCTGGTTCTGTTTTTAACACCTCAGCAACAGTACTGGAGGAGGGGAGGACACTATTGCACTGCTTTAGGAGATAAGATGATGATCTCTGTCACCCTCAGACACACAGCGGGGGAAATTTATTAAGCAACAGTTTAATTTACACCCTTTCCGGACAACAAAGCCACAGCATCTGGACTCATCCAGAACTCTAGACTGGCCATTACTGTAGACATTTACAAGTTAATAATATTATTGTTTTAACCTTAAAAATTACCATTTAAAAATATAGAAACAGGAATGTAATGTTGAAATAAATATGAAAATAATAATAATAATAATAATAATTAGTGGTCAACTGATATTGTTTTTTTTGACAGCCAATGCCGATATCTTGGTGAGGGTTGCCATGAACGCATCGGCCAAACAGGAAAACTTATCGGCCGATACAATATTTTAAAAATGCCAAATATTGGCCGATATATCGGCTGTGGCGATATATCGGTCGACCACTAATAATAATAATAATAATAATAATAATAA